CTAGAAAATCTCAGTCCCGTCACTATAAATAATTTTTAATTCATTTCTAAATTAGATTGACTGTAAAAGATATTTAAATATATGTACATTTAAATTATACAAATATTTACACATTGTAAAAATGTCCAGAGTGGCCAGGTACAGTGGTGGTTCGCACCTGTAATCCCAGCACTTTGGGAGTCTGAGGTGGGCAGATCGCTTGAGTGCAGGAGTTAGACACCAGCCTGGACAACATGACTAAACCTGGTCTCTACAAAAAATAAAATCCTAAATGAGCCAGGCATGGTGGCACATGTCTACTGTCCCAGCTACTCAGGAAACTGAGGTGGGAGGATCGTCTAAGCCCAGGAGGTTGAGGTCACAGTGAGCTATGATCACCCAACTGCACTCCAGCCTGGATGACACAGTAAGACCTTGTCTCAAAATAAATAAATAAAAATAAAAAGTGCAGAGTGCTTAAGTAAAGACAAAATAAAGTAAAAGTCTCCATCTCTGCATTTCCCATCCAAATCCAGATCTGCAGAGATAAATGCTAATAATTTGGTGTGTATTCTTTCAAACATTTTTACTGTGCATAGCATGGAAGCACAGGCTCTGAAGTTAGACTGCCTGGGTTGGAATCTGTCTCTGTCACTTGATAGCCTTGTCACCTGAGACAAGTGTCATACCCCTCCTCGGCCTCAGTTTTATCATCCTTAGAATGGCAACAATAATAGTATCTTCTCAAGGTCTCACTCATAAGTGGGAGTTGAACAGCAGGAACAAATGGACACAGAGAGGGGAACATCACACACCGTGGCCTATCGGAGGATGGGTGGACAAGGAGAGGGAGGGCATTTGGACAAATACCTAATGCATGATGCAGGGCTTAAAACCTAGATGACGGGTTGATAGGTGCAGCAAACTACCATGGGACATGTATACCCATGTAACAAATCTGCACGTTCTGCACATGTATCCTAGAACTTAAATTATTTTAAAAGTATCTTCCTCATAGATTGTCATAAGGATTAAGTAGATTTATACACATACACAGAATGTATGCCTCATACCTAACAAGCACTCGATGAATGTTTGCAAAAATAGGACTCAATTCAGGGTGACTTTGAAAGAAAAAAGTTCCTTAAAGACTTTGTTTCCAAAGAGAGATAAAGTAGAGAGGAGGTTAGTTTGTCGGGTCAGGCTAAGTTGGACTCTCAGCAATTCTGAGTCTCTTTCTACCACGGATATTTACCTTTCAAGAGAATGAGTTTCTTATTCTTCCCCAGTAAAAATAACAGAGAATGGTTAAGAACATAGTCTTTGGGGTCAGACAAGCTTGCACTGGAAACCCAGCCCCTCTACTTACTAGTGTTGTGATGTGTGATATTGTATTACCTAATTTTTCTGAACCTCAGTATCTTTACCCATATAATCACAGCAGTTTTTTTCAAGGATTATATTAAATAATGCATGATTGACTTTGCTTGGCTCGGTCAGCACTAGAAAATGGTGGCTATGGTAGTTATCATTGCATAAAGAAAGGCTTCTGGTGTGGTTTGTATGTTTGTTCCCTCCAAATCTCATGTTGAAATGTGATCCCCAATATTGGAGGTGTGGCCGGGTGGCAGGTGTTCGGCTCATGGGGATGGAGCCCTCCTTAGTGGCTTGGTCCCCTCCTCTCTTTAATGAGTGAGTTCTTGCTCTCTTAGTTCCCTTAAGAACTCACTGTTGTAAAGGGCCCGGTACTACTTGCTTTTCCTCTCTTCTTCCCTCTCTCATCATGTGATGCCTGTTCCCCCTTCACCATCTGCCATGAATGGAAGCATCCTGAGGGCCTCACCAGAGGCAGATGTTAGTACCATGCTTCTTGTACAGCCCACAGAACCATGAGCCCAATAAACTCCTTTTCTTTATAAATTATCCAGCCTCTGTTAATCCTTTATAGCAATGCAACAAAATGGACTAAAACAGGGCTTAATGCTCACTTTTCCTTTCTCCAGTAGAGGCTGAGAGCACAGGGTTGGCACCATCCTCTGAGGAGAATGATTGACTTGGTTGTACCTGACGTGGTGGATTCATCCTTTTTTTTTTTTTCTATAACTCTTGGCAATCCATCTTTCTTATGTCGGAATAGAGCTTTCTAGTCGACAAAGCACTTTCAAATGCATTTGCTCCATTGCTACGCTTCTGAAGAAGGAAGATAGGGACGGTATCATGATCAACGGATTCACTTTGGTTTCCAGGTCAGAAAACTGAGGCTCAGAGAGCATAAATTCCTTGGCCAAGGTCACCTAGCATGTCGCAGAGCCAGAACTGGCACCACCATGCTGTGACAGGGCTGTCCTCCCACTTTTCCAATGAGACCAATCAAAGGCCACTTGGTAGTGAATGTAGTTTCCCCAGGATGCATGGATAAGTTATGGGCTCTGGGGTGGGGCCTGGCTCAGAGGAGACCCCTAACACACAGGTTGCCATTATTACCAGAGCATCTTTAGAGACTACCACCTTTACATCCACCACCATGACTCTATTTTAATCCATTATTTTCCTGTGTGGCTGATGAAGCTAGCAATTCTGATGTAAAATGGTTATGAACACCAGGACAAAAAATATATATCTTTTCCTTACCAAGATGATCTATATGTGGAGAAATGTGGTTCTCCCTCTTCTATTCCATTCTCATATTTTGAATTGGGAGAGATTTTGCTTGAGAAACACAGTCAGGACAATTTTCATCTATAACTCCATTGTAAGGAATAGGATAATGGAAATTTCAATGAAAACACCAACGCAATGCGAATAGGAATCAGTTCTTTTGCAATAGGAAGCAGCTACTTTGCTCAACAGGCAACAAACCTTTAGCTTGTGTTCATGAAAATGATGATTGTCTCTGGCTCCACTGAGATTTAACCAAGAGGGGAAAAAAAGAATTTTAAAAGTTCAGATGTAGTTCATTCAGAGGTTTGTCTCTGGACTTCAATAACATGTCCATTTTTCAAAACGGCACACAAAGAGGCTGGATTCCTGTAAAAAAGAACACAGATTCTCTAGATCATAAGGAGCGTCTGAGCCAATGGGCTGTTAGTTGTCTGTGCTTTGTCTCATGACTATGAAACAGCAGGATTGACAATGACATGCCAGACTAACCATGACCAGCCCCAGGGCCTGTGCCACAAACAGGACCACACCACAATGGCAGCTCATTCTTCTACCATGGTCTAGCATTCATGCCGTGCATGTGTTGAGTGTTATTTAGGGGAGGAGGAGGTAATAGTAAGACACGTGTTTTGTGTGTTAAGAGGACAGACACTAACCTTGACCAACTATGATGTCTGAGTTGGTCTGGTGAACCAATCACAAAAAGCTCAAAAGACAGCTGCATAGTTACAAAGCTTCTGCCATTAAATGGTGGAGACTATGGCATCAGTCCCCACCGTACCTTCCATAGAAAACAGAATGAGAGTGCAGTTGCACAGAAGTGGCTCCACTCTAGCTCCTCATGTTACGCAAGGCAGACATTGCTAATACTCTTTCCAGTTCTCATTCCCTCACCCTCATTACTCACAGAGCTACAACTTTGTTCCAGAAGAAGAAACACCCAGATATTAAAAAACAAAAACAAAAACAAAAAACAAACACTGCATTCACAGCCTCTCTTGCCGACAAGGGTGATCATAGGCCAAACTGCAGTTCTGATCAATGAGAAATAGAGGTCTGACAGAGGTTTCCAGGACAGTTTTGCTCTCCTGATTTGGTGCCTCTCTGTGTTAGATTTCAAGAACGGCCACATTCTTCCCTTTGTCATACTTGTGGAATTGACTCTGCAACTCCTCTCATCGAAACGCAGTTTATTTTTTCACCCTTTGACTCTGGGCTTGGTCTTGTGAATTGCTTTGGTCAATGGTACAATAGCAAACAAGATGCAAACAAAAACAGATTGCATGATGTTAGCACAGACAGCTGACAGCCCATTGGCTCAGATGCTCTGCACCATGGAGGGTCCCTTCTCTCACTGTTCCTGGAGACCTGAAACTGCCATGTGAAGACACCAGAGCTGGCCTGCTGTTTGATAAGGGACATGTGGCCTCATAACTCTTGTCTCTCTGGCCAATAGTATGTCAACAGCCAGACACATGAATGATTCATACTAGATCATCCAACCTCCAGCCAACCCTCCAGAAGTCTGCAGATGTTTGAGTGAACCCCATCGAGACCAGCTGAGCTAAGGAGAGCTGAAGAACCACACATCTGATGGAATGGTGGTGGTTTTAAGCCACCAGATTTAGAGGTTTGTTTGTTACACAGCAGAAGCAAACAGATTTATACTTTTTCCATGCCACTTTCTTCTTCCTGCTTGGAATGTAGACATGACACTGAAGGTGGAACAACCACCTTTGCAGCCATTAGGACAAATGCTTTGCAGAAAGATGGAAGGGGCCTGGCAAAGTGACACTAACATGTACCTGATGGCTGCACCATCCACAACCGTCTGCCTCCAGACTTTATGTTCTGTGAGAAAAAGAAAACTCTGTGTTGTTAAGTCACTTGTATCATCCAGTTTTTAATTACATCTGAATCCACTTTAGGTAGTTTAAGTAAGAAGCAGTTTATGAAAGTACATCACTTAGTTTATGGAGCCTCTAAAGATCCAGAGAACCAGTGTAAGAGTCTACATAGCTAGGAAAAAGGGAAGCCAGATGTAGCAGAGCCAAGAGAAGAACCCAGCAACAGTGCAGGACTGTTCTAGAAATAGAAGTGTTTCCACCTACCATTGCAACCAAATTATTATTATATTATTAAGGGAATCAAAAGCAACAATTCCTCTTTTATCTTCAACTTTTGTTTTAAGTACCTAGGTACATGCGCAGGATGCGCAGGTTTGTTGCATAGGTAAAAGTGTGCCATCGTGGTTTGCTGCACAGATCAACCTATTATCTAGGTATTAAGCCCAGCATTCATTAGCTATTCTTCCTGATGCCCTCCCTCCCCCTGCCCCCAACAGGCTCCGGTGTGTGTTGTTCCCCTCCCTGTGTCCATGTGTTCTCTTCATTCAGCTCCCACTTATAAGCGGGAAAATGCAGTGTCCTGCAAAGGACATGATCTCATTCCTTTTCATGGCTGCATAGTATTCTGTGGCGAACACTAACATTTTCTCCATTGCTCCCCTAGAAGAACAGATGCCTCTGTCTCTGTACTTTGCACATCACTACTCCCATGTTTCTTACTTCTGTCCCGAAATCTCATGCAACAACACCTATTTGGTGGAGCCATGTATTTCAACCACTTCCTCTTCAGGTACTTGGTGAGGGAGGGTTTCCCTAGCCCTCTAGGCTATGGGAATGGCCAAACATATGACACCCAGCACTGGACAGATGAGATAAACAGCAGTTTATTAGTCATGTACACTCAGTGTCCAGGTAGGAAGACAGTGCATCTCATACAGTGCCATATGAAGATTCTGTTTGGGAGCACAGTGAACAAGCAGGGTCTGTGGGAGGCAGGCTTTGCAATAAAAGAGGGAGAGGTGAGGCCTGGTTCCCACGAGAGGATGTGATTGGCTTGTTTGAATATTTCTGTGTGCTGGCAGGGGCCTCAAACCCACCACTCAGGGAGAAGCAGACACTGGGCCTGGTCTCCATGACAAGGAGAGCTGTTTGCTTAGGGGACCTTATCTGCCATAGCAGAGTGGGCAGGGGACTTGAGATGAGGCCATTTGAGGCCTTCCCATGTTATTGAATCTTAATTTCAGGTCTTGTACTACACAATTTCTCAAGGAAGCTCCCTAGCTGGAAGAATAATCAGGAAATCTAATTTTAGCTTTCTACTCTGTAGCTCAGAAAGGCAAGCTCAGGGGCTTGAGATAGGTGTTGAGTGTACAATAGTTCACCTTTTTTATTATTTAATATCCATGTACACCCTTCTTTCCATAATTAAACTTTTAAATGATAACAGCAGCAATATGCTCTTGCCTTATACAACTAGCCCTTATGCAAATGAAAATGTATCTCCCTTCCCTGCAGGAGGAGAGACTCCATGTCTCACGGTCAGTGCTTCCCGCTCTGGGTGATGTCTCTGCCTTCTCTAGCATGGTCACAATCCTAGCTAGATATCCACTCGCCTGGGGAATAAATAAATGGTAGGGGAAAGGGAGGGAAAAATTGGAAACGCACACACATCAGAGAAAGGAAGAAAATACAGGTAGTGACTATAGTCATTTTCTGCAGCTGGTAAGGACAGTGACAAGAGGGCACAGCAGTGCCCGTGGAAGTGTCAGTGATGCCAGGCAGATGTCATGGTCTGTGCAGAGAGTCCTGGAACAGCAATAAGAGACAAGGATGGGAGCACATATAAGGCTCTCAGAAACTTCTGGAGATACCAGTGTGACTCTGCAGGGGTCTGGGTTCCTGCATTATAAGTAAGACAAGAGCAGATGTTAAAAGAAGCAAAAATACACAGTCAAAGTCCCAAAAAATATCCAGCTGGGAAGACAATTATTCTATGCACAAAATACCTATGTCCCCTCTCTTCCCCCATCAAAAAAAAACCCACATAACATTAAGGATATCCTGGTACTGAGACAAGGAAGGAAAAAAGGAGCTGATCTGGGGTATGTGACCACCTGGGGAGGACAACAGAGCATCATGATGTCCAACGGCCAGAACAGAGCCTCTGCTGTGCTTTCAGAGGACATAAGAGCTTCAAAGGCCCAGAGAAGTCAAGTGACTCAAAGTCACACAGGCAAGGAGTGGCAGGCAAATGCTTTTCTGAATAGCACACCACAGCAAAACATAATGGAGTAACTTCCAGGAAATTGTTCCTAAGTCTTGTTTCTCTTTGCACTTTTCATACTCCTCTCAGTCAAAGAAAAGAGCTACTGTCTAGTTATGATGAAGGCACTTGATTTCCTCATGCCTCGGGTAGGCAAACTTTCCCATCAGTCACCTGTTTCTCAGATGAACTTTCCTGGCTAATGGGATCAGAAAACAAGTAGTTTCATTGTAACCACATCTTATGCATATGCCATGGAAAGGACACTTACCTGGAAGTCAGGAGACACAAATTCTTCTCCTGGCATGGCCAGTGACTGCCAGAGGTTCTGAGCTGGTCACTTCCTCCCTGGGGGCTTCTGTTGCTTCATCTGCAAAATGATAGGGTTGGCCTAGATCCCTGGTTGTCCAGTTGCTCCTTAGAAACCTAAGATTGGACTGGGTGCAGTGGCTCACACCTATAATCCCAACACTTTGGGAGGCTGAGGCAGGCAGATCACAAGGTCAAGAGAGCGAGACCATCCTGGTCAATATGGTGAAATCCTGTCTCTTCTAAATATATATATGTACAAAAAAAAATCGGCTAGGCTTGGCAGCACATGCCTGTAGTCCCAGCTACTCGGGAGGCTGAGGCAGGAGAATAGCTTGAACCTGGGAGGTAGAGGTTACAGTGAGCTGAGATCACATCACTGCACTCCAGCCTGGGCAACAAGAGCAAAATTCTGTCTTAATAAAAGAAAAGAAAAGAAAATTGATAAAAAAAGAAACCTAAGATTACCTGACAGTGTCTGAGCAGCAGACAAAGGGAGAAACCAACTCGACAAGACTTTAGGTCCTCATTCCAGCTGAGTTTTCTATATTGGGGTTCCCAAGCTAAGAAAAAACAAATCACGTAGAGAGTTACCCAGGCCCTAATAATCTGTGATTCCAATGCATTTGGTTGATAGTTCTAAAGATAACTTCTTGCCCACACGCTGCAAGTGAGTGAAATTTTGGATGGGCTAAAAATAAAGAATGCTGGTGTGATTTCCGGATTTTTTCAGAATGGCACAGAGAGAGTGGACTGAGAAAAATGTTTTGTGAGTAGGAAATTATATTGCTTTCCTGCCAAGATTCATCATATAAGCATGTTTTGCCCTTCGAAGCACCAGCTCCATTGTGAACAATATTTTACTATATGTGCATCCGCCCTAAGGACATAAACTGAAGGCTCTTAGAGGTTGGGGCCACACGGTATCCAGCATGGAGATTAATCATCAGAACCTTCTAAAGTAGTCAGTGGGAAGGATGAGAGAGTTCAGTGTTCTTTGTTTCCTCCTCTAGAATCTTAGCCATATTTGGGATTTATTTAGTCACATTATAAATACCCTACTACTATGACAACTGGGACAGCTACACTATTATTAGGACAACTACATTATAAATAAATTTTAAGCAGAAGTTCTAGGCAAGTGAATATACCCACCTTTAGTTCAGAACAGTTGTTAAGTAGTCTGGTAGTAGAAGAGTAAGAAAACAGACATTCTCAAATTGTGCTGTTTGGTATTAAAGAAAAATTGGCCCAGAGATGGGCATGGTGGCTCACACCTGTAATCCCAACTACTTGGGATGTGGAGGCAGAGGGATCACTTGAGGCCTGGAGTTCTAGTCTGGGCAACATAGTGAGATCCTGTCTCAAAAAAAAAAAGTAGTAGTAGTAAAGTAAAAATAGTTTCTAATGCTTTCAACTGTTAGCTAATGAAGTAAAAACAATGATACATGGGACACAGAGTAAAATGCAGGGAATGATATATAGGAATCAAAATAACTTTAATTTGTATACAGATGAGCAAACTGAAAGGTACCATTAGTATCATCTTCAGGTGCTTGGAGATGTTTTGTGAATTAGATTCTCCATGGTCATTTTCAATATTCCAAAAAGAATAAGAAACAAACTTATGTTTAGGAGAAACTTGGTTTATTCATGGAAGTGAATCAAGACTTTTCTTTTTTGTAATAAAACACTAAGGTGGACAAATAAGGTCACCCTCAGATCTCTTGCCATCTGGCCACCTGTCTCGGACTTCTGTCCATTTCAAGGCAAATGGCTGGAGAGGGGGATATTCACGTGATCTGCATTATATTGATGAGTGTACGTGGAGCATCTTTAGAAGTATGTGCTGATGGAGTTGTTACCAGCCTATCATATCTGTAAAATGATAGGAGCGTTTAAAACCTTTTCCTAGACATGCTGTCATTTGGGCTGTGAGTAAGTTCTGAGGCAGTATTTTCCCTGTGTAGGTGAAAGAACAGAAGAAACTCGGGGATATAAAGAGGTGAAGGGGCTTAACCACAGCCAGGTGGAAATGAGTGGCAAGGGCAGGTAAGCCCTGCTGTCATGGCCAGCCGTGGACCCCTGCACTGCAGAGTGAGAGACGCCTGCCAGCAGGGGGCAGCACTGACAGGACGGTGCTTGGGGGATGGAGAAGGGGATCACCTGCTGAAGAATGGCTGACTGCCAAGGTGTCAGTCTGTAAAGAGGGGCTTGTTGCCTCAGAGCATGATCAGGCTTTGGGATCGGACCCTCCTCTATTCAGTTGTATTAGTCCATTTTCATGACACTGTTAAAGACATACCTGAGACAGGGCAATTTACAAAAGAAAGAGGTTTAACTGGACCTACAGTTCCACGTGGCTGGGGAAGCCTTATGATCATGGTGGAGGCAAGAAGGAGCAAGTCACATCTTTACATGGATGGCAGCAGGCAAAGAGAGAGCTTGTGCAGGGGAATTCTTCTTTTTAAAACTGTCAGATCTTGTGAGACTTATTCACAGTCATGAGAACACCATGGGAAAGACTTGCCCCCAAGATTCAATTACCTGCCACTGGGTTCCTCCTACAATGTGTGGGAATTCAAGATGAAATTTTGGTGGGGACACAGCCAAACCATGTCACAGGTTCATAGACTTCCTAAGAGGTCCTTTCAACAACTCACTTTACAGAGGTGGCCACCAAAGCCACACCATCCATGTATTTACAGCAAGAAGGATCTCTTTCCCCAGTGACTGGACCACTCATGTCCATTCATGGCTGATTATCTATGAAGGAAGTGGAAGCTAAGGACAGGACAAGCTCCTGGAGCTACCAGGGTAGAAAGGAGGCTTGGACTTGAGCATAAATCCCCTGTGAAGATTTCTAGCTGTCTGCCTTTGATAAGGGCCCCAGTTCTTATTTCTTTATTGTGCTCAAACCAGCTCTTAGCAGTCCTGTGCACATTCATGCTCATATTTCATTCCTAGACTCAAGCTTTAAAATCAAGGTTTTAAAAATTACACACACCAAGTCATCAATCATTGAAGTTTTGTTGTGCTTTGTTTTTTAAATTTTTTAGACAGGGTTTTGCTCTGTTGCCCAGGCTGGAGTGCAATACTCACTGCAGCTCACTCCTGGGCTCACTCCAGGGATCCTCCTTATCAGCCTCTTTAGTAGCTAGGACTATGGGTGCATACCACCACAGCTGGCTAATTAAAAACAATTTTTTGTAGAGATGAAATCTCCCAATGTTGCTCAGGCTGGTCTTCAACTCCTGGCCTCAAGTGATCCTCCTCCCACTTTAGCCTCCCAAAATGCTAGGATTACCACTGTGAGCCATCATACCTGGCCTGGTCATTGAAGTTTTTATATGAAGATTATTTGCAGCCATGGAATCAGATCCAGCTTGGAGAAAATTTTATTAAAATGCCCTGTGAAATATTTCTACATCCTACCCTACACCTCTAGTGATTAGATCTACTAGCATCCTTCAGATACTATATTTCTTTCCCCTGGTCAGTGCTGAATGTACCAGGCTATTCTGCCCTTTGTATTATATTTTGTAAGATACTACCATTCACCTTTTCAATGGCCCATTCTTTTTGCATCATATTATTCTGCATTATATTATATAATATATAATTATATGTGTGTATGTGTATATATGTATATATATATACACACACATACACACACAATACATATATATATTCTGCATTAATATGTATAGCAGACAGCTATATATATATACACACACATACATACATATATATATATATATTCTGCATTAATATTATTCTGATTGCAGTTCAGTCCAGGCTATTTGGAGATTTATTGGTGCCACTCTCAAGTTTAAGGGACAGCAATGTGTCTAAGGCTGGGGGGATTCAAGTATAAGAGAGTTTGAGGCAGCAAAGGAGCCCCAAAGAATCTGGGATTTCTCCTACAGTCCATTGTGGGGGTTCAATCAGGCTGGTGGGAGAAATTTTAGTTATAGAGAATATACACAAACCTTTTTGGAAGGCCTGAGGGTTTTTATTATAGTACTTGGTTGAAGGCAGCCTCGTTCCCTTAGTTAAATAAATTAGGGTAGAAACTAAGGAATGTGGGGAGTTTATCTAACTTACTTGTTTACTCATGTGGTCCTACATCTAACCTTTGATCAGTCCAGATGGTTCTCTCGGGGGAGGTTGACCAGGGATATTACCCACTAATAGTTTTTGCTTTAGGCCTCAGGACCTGGCCCTTAATCTTTACCCTCTGGTAGTGTTAACTCAAAGTCTTTGCCATTGAATGTGTGCTGAATGAAGGCCAGCAAGGCCAGGGAGTTGGGGCCAGTGGCCATTAACTCCTTCAGGTGAGAGGCCATGGACACGCCTAGACCAATCTTTGACTGTATTCTATGTTTCAGTGAATTTATTCATCTGTCTTGCAGCTGGGGTCTGAAGAAAAGACCCCCACTGTCCATCAGATTATATCCTATAGACAGACACTAATAAGTGACTCTATATTCCTTGATATGTGATTTTCTTGACATATTCATTTTCTTGTTGAACAATTTCTAAGTTTTCTTTGAACAAAGCAGGAGCCACATTGCTAGAGAGCTGCCTGCCCCACCCCCAACTCTGCACTCCCCATCAATCCCCATCTTCCTCTACCAGCCCTGCTGTAGCACACAGTGATGCCTTCTCTTCTTTTCGACCCATAGTTCACTTAGTTTGACCTTGCTTTGACCTTGCCATGACTTCTTCGGGCCTCAGTCTCTCATCTGCAGGAGGGATCTTAGACTTCACAGTCACCAACATTTCTGATTCTCAGATTCTCAAAAAGATACTCAGGAAAAAGAACCCCAAATTAAGCAAATTGACACTGACTTTTGTTTCTATTCTTTCTCTTTATTCTGTAACTGCCAAGTCTTTAGGTATTTGAAACCAAGTGCAAAGGGTTCCCTGTGGATTTAATTTCAGTTGCTCTTTGTGTATTTTTTATTATGCACTTACCGTGGGACCAGTCTCTGTAACTGTCCCCCAGGCACAAGTGTCCTTTCAGTTCTCAGAAGCTTGGCAACCCACATACAATCTTCTAATTAAAAATGTGCATTTCAAGAAAAATTTGAAGTCACACCCTCATACGATGGAAGAAAGGAGCTTTGTTAAACTCTACACATACAAGAATGAATCTCATTGTTAGAAAGAGATTTTCTACTCTACCAATCCTCACTCCAGATTTCAGAATCCACCTCAGGCACTGAAGCTTCATATTATCAGCCCCATGGGTCATAAATACGACCTCCATTTTCCATCTGTTAGCTCCTTCACACAGAGACTCAATTCAGTATACACATCCTGAGAACCTTCATGTCAGACCTAATGCTCACAGTCACTGAGGACCCAAGGTGGCATATTACAAGGGCTCAGTACTTAGACTCTGAATGAGTCAGCTGTGGTTTGGATCTAGGTTCTAGAGTACGCTAACTTCATGACCTTTTGGATCCTCAGTGTCGTCATCTGCAAAACAGATGGAACCTGCCAGGTAAGGCTGTTGTGATACGTTCATGAGGTCATACCTGCAAAGCATCAGCTCAATGTCTGATCTCTAGCAAGTCCTTAACAAATGTTATCTATGATCATGATCAAAAAAGGGAAGATGACAGATTAATTTAGGAACTAACCAATAGCCTTTTATGTTCCACACACAATGCTTGGACAATGGATATGCATTTGAAACAAAGCAGGCATAGTAGCCATTCTCATGGAACTTGCAATCTCATGGGAGAAACAGTCTCTATAAAACAAACAAACCTATAAATATATAATGACAAGTTGTGGTAGGTGCTATGAAGAAAATTAACTGGTGCCTGAAAGTGCTTGGGAAATTAGTGTGGGCAGAACTATGTGGCCTTGGAAAGAAGAAAGAGGGTTCACAGCACAGAAAATACTCTTGTGAAAGGAGGTGGTCAGGCCAGCTTTTGCAGGACAGGAGAAAGAAACACATTTATTGGAAGGAACTTAGTTTTGTTCCATTATTGGCTTACAATATTTTAAAGTTTGAGCATTTACCAAAAATGATCCAGCCCAAACCTTTTATTTTAAATATGGGTAAACTGAAGCATGGAGAATTAGTTGCCACCAGTCATATAGTTAGTTCATGAAAGAGCAGGCCTTAGAACTCTAGGGTTTTGGACTTTTGGTTTGTCTATTCTATTCCTATCCCTTATTTCTTCTTAAATATATCAGAACATCCAGGGCTTTTTCTTGAAGGAAGTAAGAAAGTAGTATCAAGGTTCCTTCCTGATCCATCACTAAAAATGGTCCTTTCTTGAAATTTCTTGGGGGAAAAAGGCATAGGGTGAAGATCCTATGAAAATCCTACAAATGCGAAGCTGTTTGAACTTGGATAAGCTCCACCTTCATTCATCAACACTTTCCCGTTTGTGTACTCACTCTCTTTCAGCACTTGGGTTATGTTAGAATCATGTTCCCAGCAGGGCGCAGTGGCTCAAGCCTGTAATCCCAGCACTTTGGGAGGCCAAGGCAGGCAGATCACCAGGTCAAGAGATCAAGACCATCCTGGCCAACATGGTGAAACCCTGTCTCTACTAAAAATATATAAATTAGCTGGGTGTGGTGGCATGCACCTGTAGTCCCAGCTACTCGGGAGGCTGAGGCAGGAGAATTGCTTGAACCTGGGAGGTGGAGGTTGCAGTGAGCCGAGATTGTGCCACTGCACTCCAGCCTGGTGCCTGGCAACAGAGCAAGACTCTGTCTCAAAAAAAAAAAAAAAGAATTATGTGCCTATTCAATTCTAGAATAATCAGGGATCTAGAGCTTGGGGCTGGCTGTACAGGCTTGAAGATCTTGACCACTGAGCCGTACCCTATACTGAACCCCACACAGGACCACTGCACTGACTTTTGGGGCCTGCTCACCAACCCTGTGTCTGAAAATGTTCTTACCACGACGAAAATGTTCTGGCCATCTGCTGCTTCCGTCAACAGTCAGATATGACACAGAAGGATGTAGGATTCCAGCCAGCCCTGAGTAGGGCGGGTGTCCCAGCTGGAAGCAACACGTACTTCGATGGGTTTAGGTTTGAACTCCAGCTTGGCTGCTTATTAGTAACTTCAGGCAAGTTATTGAATCTCTGAGAACCTCAGTCTCTATAAATATAAGAATTTAGATCTAACTTTCAGGGTTGATGGAAGGCAATTAAATAAGCACCTAAGATCATAAATGGCACATGATATTCAACAAGTATTCATCCTTATTTACTTAGTAAACACATGCATAACACTCTGTAATAGGCTCTGTTCTAAGACCTTTACAAACATTAATTCAGACCCCTTCTATTTTCCCTGTAAAGATGACTGCACTGACAGTGAGAGGGGTTTCATGGAGCAATGGGCTATATCAGAAGGTCTTTGCAAATAGAAACACCTTATCCTCAATGAAAACCGTTCACTCTGCCTCTCAAGCATGAAGCTAGGAGTTTTTCTAGACTCCCAGTTAGTGCTTTACTTAGTTCGGATTAGCAGCCACAAGGGTCATAAGTACTGACTGTTGTGATGATTAATAATATTGATAATTTCATGATATATATTGACTGGTTAATATGCTCTAGCATGGACTCTTGTGGTTTCCAGACGCATTCACCTTTATTTTTTATAGTAGACATAAACTTGGGCCCATGCCTGTCACGCTAAGTTACTTGTACTTCCCAAAGGCCATGCTGCTTCTCTTTGCTCACGCTGCCCTTAGTCATGAGTTTGCCTGGCAACAGTCTTTTAAGCTTCATCTCAATCGTCACTTTATCTTGGCCTGTGAGATCTTTGCTGACCTTCTGTGTTACATAGATGACTCCCTCCTGGGGGTATACCCAGCCCGTGACCCAGAGATATAATCCTCTATATCCTGCCCGTGGCCCTGAGATACTATGTCTATAAGATTGTATCTCACTCAATGGAATCTGTAGCACTTGGTCCAGTAGCCCATAGTTAGGAAGGAAGAGTGAGAGAAAAGGAAGGAAAAAATGCAGGAAGAAGAAAGGTAGGAGGAAAGAAAAGAAAAAAGGAAAAGAAAGAGGAGGAAGGGAGGAGGAAAGAAAGAAGACTTCACTGGTTAATCAGCCAATGATCACATTAGAGCAGCTTGTCATTGCTGGTCACTGTTACCCACCCTCCCTGCCCTACAAGGTAGAAAGTGGAGACATGGAAGTGCAAATGCCAGATGCAAAATGGTTGTCTGACTTGGTAATCAAACAGCCATGTTTCTGGTGTTCTAGAAGACAGATGCTCTCCTCAAACATGAAACTGTGTCTTCCCTCACTCTCTTGAAAACTATACAAGACAAAACATTTCCAGAGCTGGAGGCAGAACAAATGAGCTTGGGAGATCAGGACCAAGGGCTAGTTTCACGAGCACAAGTCATCCCAGCTTAGTCTTCTACTGAGGGAAGGCATGGAACGAGCACAGGGCAAATTGAGGTGTACCAGGTGGGGCTTTCGTGCAGTGGAGGCCTCTGTGCCCTGAGGGCCCAGCTCTTCTGCACCACTGTATCTGCCCTCAATTCCAAAGTTACCCTTCTTGGCATTCACCATCCCCACATGAAGCTGGAGCTGAAGCAGTCAACGGGCCACGGTGGGGATGCAGTGCGGGTATGAGTCGACCGAGAGCAGGAAGCCTTCATTCATTCATTCATTCA